AAGACAACCCCCTCATTTCAAACACATTTAAGGTACACCTATTCTGGCCACCTTCCTAAGATTTTTTTATTAGTATAAGTTTATAGTATACAATGATTAAACTCCTTGCTCACATATATTTTTAAAAATAAAGCACACTCTGGGGGAAAAAATATTTATAAGACATCTAATAGGAATCTATTACCAAAGATACACAAGAACTTTAAAAAGTAAGCAATCAGAAAAATAATTCAATTTTCAAATGGCCCAAAGATTTGAATAGACACCTTATCAAAAAATTATAAAGGTAACAAGTATATGAAAAGATACTCAGTATTATAGGCTATTATGGAAATGCATCTTTTTGAATTTTAATTTAATTTTATTTTGAAAAGTAAAAGCAAAGCAAGAACAAAAATCAGAAACAAAGAAAACAACAGGGCAACATACAGTAGTACATATGTTACCGATTTTCAAACCAAGAACAGCTGATTAACAGTGGTTGATATATTATCAGGACCCCATGCTTGCCAGGCAGGCACTGGTACTACTGTGCTGTATCCTCATCCAGGAAATGCATATTAAAAATCACAAAAATATACCACTACCTACCTCTTACAATGAACTTTTTTTTAAAAAAGAGAATACAAAAATAAAATAAAATAAGGGAATACAAATAGTAGAAAAAAAATAGAAACAATACAGAATTTCACTAAATAACAGGAATTTAACAATATTTGTCATGTTACATAACGGTGTCCTCAAATTAGATTACCAGATATAAACATGCAAAATTGATTTAAAAAAGAAGTTATAATATTAAGTAGGAAAAAAAATGCAAGCATCAACTCCTCTCAATAAACCAGCAATAACCAGCAGTACAACTATCTAAGCAGTCCTGTATGAGTATCTTTCCCCTTCTTCCTCTCACCCTCTTCCTCATCCCACTGTGGCCTTCCTTTGAACAGATGTTTTCCCTTTCACAGTATCTACTGTACCCTTTAGATTGTATTCATTCTTTCAGGGTCTTATACAGGGGAGAGAATACAATACACATACAGGGCTGATTTAGCCTCAAATTTATCTTTCTTTATAGCTGAGTGATACTCCATTGTATAAAAATACACCTTTCTATCCATTTCTCAGTTGATGGGCAGTTGGGTTATTTCCAAGATCTAGCTACGACAAATTATGCTACTCTAAACAAGGGTGTATATATATTGCTGTGTATTCTTTTTCTGAAAAATACCCCAGAGGAATAGCTAGGTTGAATGGGAGCTACAATCCTAGTTTTTTGCGAAATCTTCACACTGATTTCCAGAGTGGCCCTACCAGTCTGCACTCCCACTATTAGTGGAGAGGGCTTCCTTTATCCCCACAACCCCTCCAGCGTTTGTTGGCTGGCTTCTTGCTAATAGCCATTCTTTCTGGGGTGAGATGGAATCTCAGTGTTGTTTTAATTTGCACTTCTTCAATGGCCAATGACCCTGAACATTTTTCCATTTATTTGTCATTTGTATTTCATTGGAGAAGTGTATATTCATCTCAGATGCTCATTTTTTGTTTGGGTCTTTGGATTGGGAGGCCTGATATTTTTCTTTGTATGTTCTATATGTTCTTTATATGTCCTTTGTCTGAGGTACAGTCGGCTACAATATTTTCCCAATTCATGGATTTTCTTTTTACTGTTGGTTTCTTTGGACATGCAGAAAGTTTTTAAATGGTAAGATCTGAAGTAGCTTGGCTGGAGGAAGCCAAGTAGCCAGCCCACTGCCCTGAACAGAGAGACCAGCATGAACTGATGAGTACCACATCCCCATGAGGCAATCACCCCCCAAAAGCCCCTTCTGTGATTACATGAAGCTTTCAAGGTCATCTGGGTACAAACTGTAACAGAGCTGTGGCCCTATTCAGTCAGTTGTGCTTAGCATTTTATGTCAAGATTTTAAAAAGCATGAAAATACCCTTTCCCCGTTTGTGCCTTTGAAATGGTTGATAGGGTCATATTTACATGAGAGCATCTAATGCAATTTTCCAATCTAGAATTGTTAAGCACTTGTCATGATTCTTCCCACTAACGTTTTCATGTTATAGCTTCATGATATAGCCTGTTATGAAGTAACTGGATTATGAAGGCATTATAGCCAACTTGCTATTAAAAGATGGGTTCTGGTCAGAAAAGGTACACCACTGTGGGAAGGGTCTAGTTCCCTTCCCAGCTCCTCTCTTGGTTCTTTCTGCTTTCCTGCCACCACACCCCGTGGGCAGCTTCTCCTCTGCAATCCCCCTCTGCCATGCCGATGCCCTTTGTACTGAAACCGCTACAAAATGTGAGTCAGAATGAACCTTAAGTTATGGGTGTCAGGTACTGTGTCCCAGCTATAAGTGACTAAAACACCTTTACAAAAGTTAGACAAGCCTTGCCTAATATAGCACACCAAGGACATAATGTTCCTTTTATTTATATATTTGGTACAGGGTCTCACTACGCAGCTTGGACTCTTAGTGATCCTGTTTAAAGCCTGCCCAGTGCTGAGATTGCAGGTGTGCGCCACCACACCTGGACTCGGTGACTGGTTCAGCATGCCCAGAGGGGCAGGCATGGCTTCTGTAGATGCTCCTTTTAGAGCCACCACTGAGATATACAGACAGAAAAGAAAGTTCAGGCCTTTTTCATAACTTCAAAATTGGGGAATCCAAATTTAAAAATAAAAAAACACTGCATTCAGTTTTGGCTCAATGTCTTCATTTATTTATGGTACCAGGGATCAAACTCAGGACCTTGTGCTTTCTAGGTAGGCATTTAAACTACTGAGCTATCTCCCCAGCCCTTGATATCTCCATTTATTGATACACAGAATTAATGAAGTAGCAATTAGTTGGTATATTTGATAAATCTAATCTTGCTTATAGAAATAGAATACTTCTCAGAACACCTTAAAATCCAAGCCAAAGTTATTCTTTCAGAATGTAGAAGGTATTCTTCATTCAAATCTTATTCATAGTAAAATATGCTTTATTAAAAATAGAAACGCAAAGAAATAAAAATGCACTTCATTTTTTTTTTTATTTTATTGAGAAACAAATAGCAATAAGACAGTTTCAAAACTGATTAACAGGGCAGTTTCAACAATCAACACATTGTATATCGCTATCTTCTCAGTGGTCATCCACAGCACAAGATGCAGAAAGGACACCCGGTCCAAACACCATTAGTACAAATCTCTCTTCCCATTGAACCAAGTGAAAGTAGCTGTATATCCATATCAACAACTCTGCATATACAGATATAAAATGGTCCCTCCCCTGTATCCTCCTCTCTTGTCCAGTCCCGCCAGAAACGGGTGTTCCATTGGCATCCAAATACCATAGGTGCGTGAATTCAGCAAAACAATCCAACACAGTCCAGCAGTCCACAATAGCAGTGGGCTATCCACAAAAGTTGTTGACTTGAGCCCCTCACAGCTCAGCACACCAACATGGCTCTACCCTAAATACCTCATCGCTACACTTTTCTGCTGGATGGCCAAGAACAAGATAAAACAAGACCTATACAATGAGAAATGCAACTCTTGTATCTGACAAGGTCAGTCAAATAGTACTTCATTTTTAATATTCTATCAAGATGCTAGACTCTTCAAGTTGTAAGCCAGATCACTGCATAAAATGCTGGTCCAGACGAAGAGAACAAAAACATACACTGTTATTTGAAGTAACTAGTCTGTGAGAGGGAAGGAAAAAGGGAGGGAAAGAGGAAGGTGGAGGAGAGATAGACAGGAAAGCTTTTGAAAATGGTTTTTATGAAGAAATAAAAGATGAACTTCCTTCCTCATTTGCTGTTCTTCATTTTATCACTGAACAACTATTTCCCTACTCAGAGGACATAAAATGATCTAAAATGAGTCAAAGTGCATTACAAATTCACATTGAAAATGATTCATCAAAAAAAAAAAAGATTCATCAAGGCCAGCCAGATAGCTCAGCAGACTAAAGCACCTGCTTCGGCAGAGCACAGTGGACGGGTTCGATCCCTGGCATGCTGTGCCAGCCCCACCTGTGGGGCGCGCTGAGGTGGCAACTGAGACCAGGCACGATGCACACACCTGTAATCCCAGGGTTTGGGAGCCTGAAAACAGAAGAATCACTGAAAGTCTGATCTGTGTAGTGAGACCCTGTAGATCCTGTACTAAATACATTTAAAAAATAAATAAATAAATGATTCACCAACTAAGTGCTTCTCTAGTAAGTGCAGGGGCCAGGGTTCAATCCCTGGAACTGCATTCCACGCCAGCCCCACCCCAGGGCACACTGAGCCTGCAATGGAGTCCAGGCTTGGTGGCCCAAGCCTGTAATCCCAGCACTAGGGAGGCTGAAAACAGAAGGAGCACTATGAAGGACCAGGCTGCGTAGTGAGACCTTGCACACACACACAAAAAAAAAACTTAAAAAAAAAAAAGATACATCATATGCTCAGTCTTTTGCTGATCAATGGATATAACTAGAGAAAATACTCTTAAGTGAAATAAATCAGATCTGCATGTGCAAACATCATATTGCTTCTTTAGTGTAAAAATCTGAAAGAGAAAAATGCAATCTGAAGGGTATGACAGACACTGGGAAAAGGAAATGAACTTACTCAAAAGGAAAGAGTTACTGAGTTGAGGACAAGGACAGGAGAATGGGGAAAGAGATTTATCTATGTCTGTAACAGGATGGCTTGGACAACTGCACTGTGCATTTCTGCTGGCCTATGCAAAGAAGCAGGTGATACTTAATTTGTTTTGTCTCCTTTTTGCAATTGTTTGTACTCTCTTTGTAATTTCTTATACATGTTCCTTTTTTCCTTTCTTCTTCCAATTTTACATGCATATATCTGGCAATATAAGTAACTAGTTGGAAAACAACACTATATATTACAACAAATACTGTGAAATTCACAATGAAATTCTGTATCACTTGTAATTTTTTGTTTTCCAATTTGTACTCTTTAAGAAAAAAGCAAAAAAACAAAAAATGCTCATTCTATAAAGCAATCAATATAAAAAGAATATAAAGATTATTTTGATGTTTCAATATTTAGCTAATATTCAGAATTAATATATAATGAATCTCAACTTTTGAGCTTTAAATTCCAGCATTAAGCATTAGGTATGTGAAACAAATACTATGGGCCTTAAATAAAAGCAAAGAGAGAAAACTACACACACAAAATAGCCTAAACATTGGCAATTATGAAATCTAGTTTTCTATTATCTAAATTTCCAAAACTATCAAACCCTTTAGAGCTTTAAGCAATCAAAATAGTCATATTTATTAAGGCTTAAAAATAAATTTTTCCTCTTAACATATGAAGGCATACATGAAATATACAGCAAAAGTTACTGTGTCCAACTTCCCACACCGATGGATGTGCAAAGTCTACAACATGATCTCATTATGCCATCATAGCTGCACCTTCTGCACCAGTGGCATCCTGGGAAATATGAAGGTCTTCAAGCATCTCAGCCAGACTAATTCGAGGTGCTCCTTCATCATCTGTGTCACTTTCTACAGGGATAGTTGAATCTAAAAAAATTAGGATTTTGAGTAAATACAAATATGAAAACATAGAATACCTGCCTCCAACATTATTGGAATCATTTATGAAAGTCTGACTATAGCAGTTTAAAAAATAAACAAGAAAAAGTCATTTATAAAAATCAAAGTTTAAGATACCGTAATAGTCTCACTAGCACTACCTACAACATCTGATTTAAAACACTCCTATAAGACCAACCTCTGTAAATGTTGACATTTTTCCTAATTGCCTCATCTTCTTCAAGATCTTCAAGAAAATCTTGGTATTGCCTGTAGGAACATAAACATTTACATATTTCATCTTTACCAAAGAAGTGTGAGGTTTTTTTCACTTGCAGCATTGTAAATGTGCTCCAAGCACTACAATCTTAAAAAAGTAGAACATGTATGTTAATACTGACAAGCTAGAAAAAATATTTTCTATCAAAATTACATAACAAGAAACCAGCTAAATATAAGATGACATTAAATAAAACAAAGAAAATACTTCTCATCTTAACCCTACCCCCAAAATGTCTAAATCAAATTGAAATACTTTTGAATCCAGGTATGTACTTATAATATCAAATGCATTTAATCAACTGTTATATATTTGAGTATTATCTTAATTTTAAAAATTACATTGTTTGAAACACTATTTCCTAATTCACATTTTGTGAAACAATATTATATACTCTTCAGATTTTAGATAGCTATGATTTCACTCTCAAGACTTTTTTTTTTTGCAGAACCGGAAATTGAACTCAGGCCCTGAGCCATCTCCCCAGCCCAGACTTTCTGAATCATCTAATAAACTTTTTTCAGAATGTATTATCTTCATTTGTTCTATAGCTTTTTCAGAAATAATATCTGATATCAATGAGCTATTGTCATTGAATCACAAATCACCAGTACACATCCCCTGTTTATGATATCCACAAATTATTTACAATATTTTAACTGTTCAATTGAATTATTTACATTAATATTACAATTATAATAACACAAGAAATAACTGAATCTGTATTAATTAGCACTATATCCTCTCATATGAATTCCATTAATAGCTTCACAGGAATCCAAACTTATCGAGTACAAAGACTGATGCCTATTTCTTTCTAACATAAAAATAACTTATCATACGTCTTTCCTCTCAGAAAATACATAGAGTTTAAATAAAAGTGGGACCTTTCATCATCTGTATCCATATTTTCCCTATCTCTTGCAAGCTCTTTCAATTTCCAGTTTCTACGACGCTGACGTTTAGTACGGTCATAGCTCTTCTTGATTAATACCTATAACAGGAATATTTTTAAAGTTATAAAACATAACTACAAAGTAGAGCCACAAAAACCAATAAAGTTTAAAAATGAAAAGATAGGGCTGGGGGAGATAGTTCAGTGGTATAAATGCCTGCCTGGCAAACACAAGGTCCTGAGTTTAATCCCTAGTACCAAAAAGAACCCTAAAAATGAAAAAAAAAAAAAAAAAAAAAAGCTACAGGAATGTCAGGTAAGTCACCAAATGCTGAGTGATTATACCTCAGGAAAAAGGTGTAGAGATCAAAAGGCAGTGTCAAAAAAAAAAAAAATTCTAGTGACTGAATATTAAGTTTTAATACAAAAAACCTGCAGTATTTTATTACTGTTATAGATCATCTTGAAACATCACAAGCAGGGCTGGCCAAATAGCTCAGTGGATTAAAGCGCCAGGCCTGCTGTGCCAGCCCCGCCCCTGGGGCACCCTGAGATGGCAATTGAGACTGGGCGAGGTGGTGAGTGCCTGTAATCCCAGCTCTTGGGAGGCTGTAAACAGGCAGATCACTACGAGTCTGATCTAGTAGTGAGATCCTGAACACCTTGCAGACCCTTTCCTAAACTACAATAAATAAATAAATAAAATCACAGGAAAGTACTTCCCTTTATTTTCTCTAATACACACTGATAGAACTATATACAATTTTCACAATATTAGAATAGTGTTTAGTAATTACAAAATATGTGAAAATAACTGTGCAGAACACAAAATCTTGTAAGATTGTGATACTCTACTCTCATAACCTCATTAGAAATAACTGCTTTGAGAAGAAAGCAAAATAGCATGCCCTGTAATCCCAGTTATTTAGGAGGCTGAGATGGGTGGATCATGCATTCCATGTCAGACTGAGCTACAATGTCCCATCTTATAAAAAGAAAACAAAAGAAGGAAAACAAAGACCTATTTTTATCTATACTCAAACTATCCTTCTATTTCCTAATTTATCAATGAAAGCAAAACAGGGTAGTAACAGTAGGAGGGTCACTTTTTCATCATGACTTTATTTCCGCCCAAAGCTGAAGACATCAACATATATTTTGAAAGATTAAGCATGTACAACTCTTCAGTTTAATTCACTATTATCCATGATTCTTAAACTCATCATGTTAGAATTTAACAGATTTTTCACAACTAAGCCTTTCTCTAGTATTTGATAGTATAAAGATTATTTTCTACTCCATTTCTATTTAACTTTGAATAACTGGTATTAACTCTAATGCCTTAACTGGCAATATACATAAAGTAAGCTGAGCCTAGTTAAGAACAAACCTGAATGTTTTAAAGATCATCATTTCCACCTGCAAGCTTGCTCTACAGATAGTACCAAGTATTTTGACACACAATGAAAATTTAATTATAAACAGCAACAGAAAAACTTCAATAAGCTTTGGATATATCCCACCAAGGAAAATGATATAAAGACTTCTGAAGCCTGACAACAAGGTGTGACCCTATTTTCCCAGCTACCTACAAGATGAGGAAAGAGGATAGCAAGTTTGAGGCCAACCTAAGCAACTGAGCAAGACCTTATCTCAAAATAACATTTTAAAAAAGGACTGGGAGTACAGCTCAGTGGTAAAGTCCTTGCCTGTTAAGCACCTGGGTTCACTCATCAGTACTCATTCCCCCAAAACGAATGAAAATTAAGAGGGAAGGAACACAGCTCAGTGGTACAGCACTCGCCTAGCACATACCAGGCCATGGGCTTTAGTACTAACACTGCTAAGTAAATCAATGGACTTCTTTTTTTAAGGTATTTAGCACAGGGTCTACAGGTCTCACTAGACAAGATCGGACTAGTAGTGATTCTCCTGTTTTTAGCCTCCCAAGTGCTGGGATTACAGGTCATGCCACCACATCCAGTCTCATTTGCCGCCTCAGTGTCCCCAGGGATCGAACCCCAGTCGCTGCACTCTGCCTAAGGAGGCGCGTTAGTCTGCTGAGCTATCTGGTCAGTCCTACAGACTCTGATATTATGCCTTAGTTATTTTAAAGACAATCTCCAACTAATGTATTAGGTTCAAAATGATGACCTCATATACCTCTCTCATAATAGTCACATCATCTTTAACACAAGAAAAAGGAAAAATCTAAAGCCATACCACATCTGGAACTTTATCTGACTTCATTTTGTTGACATGCTCATCATTCAAGTTACAGTTAGCCAAATCAAACCTGAAATATAAACAATGAAAAACTTACTTACGCTTTGCATTTAACTTTTCACTTGACAACTATTATGTAAGAATTCCTAAGTCAGTTAATACTGTCCACTTTAATATATAATTTTTATAATTTATTTTACAGTGAAAATCCTTTTGCAGAGCTCAAAAAGATAAAAAAGCTATGAGTTTTGTGCACGTTTCCACATATCTGTTAAGGAAGCAAAACAGACTTATTTATGTTTAATAAAAAAACTACCCACTCCCTTAAAAAAGCTGTAAATATGCATGTAATTATATGAAGTCAGGGTTCAATCATCAAGACACTGGAACAAATAGCTCCTTTAGATGACGGTCAAAACTGAAACCACTATAGGCTTCTGTCCAACACATAATTTAGTTACCAATAATGAGTTATAATAGGTTTCTAAGAACTCTTAAATCTTTTTTGAATGAACTTAGTATTTTAGGTAGATTTTTTGGCTACCAAAGAAAGCATGCAATGCTGATTGGCAGTTTAAAATGATATAAAAAAATACAAACCCCAACACCAGGTCTCCAGGATTTAGAAGATGTCCCAAATGAGTGCGACAAAAATACTGTTTATCTGTATTCATTTCAGATGTTTTCTGTACCCAGACTTCCCCAAGGGTATGCTTAAAAGGAAAGAAAATGTACTCTTCAATAACTTAACCCAAGACTCTCATACAAAAATTAAAAACGTTGATTTTTGGCATTATTATTTTCATTTTCAAGGCAAAAATTGATTTGCTTATTTTCCATATCTCTAAATTCTGTCAAAATTACTGAATCCTAAGTATAGAAAAATAAAATCCTAAAAGCAAATAAAGAATTTTTGTTAAGATTTGGTCAAGACATTTATGAAACATTAACAATGTCCTCTGAAAAAGCCATATATAGAATTTTCAAAAGAAATCTTTTCATAGTGAGACTGGCCAACAGACTGAGCAAACAGCTAACCAAAAAGGGAGGCTCTTAAATCAAGAAAACATTCCAAGCAACGCATTTGAAACAAAGGGTTCAAAAATACAAGAGTCTAACAAAATAACCTTGAAAGCCCAGCAGCACACTACCACAAAATCCAAACCTTCACCGATTAATTTTTTAATATTTAAAATTTTAAACTAGAAAGTTAATATCCTTTCCTAAATAACATTTTAATTGTAAATGACCTTTCAAACTTACAAGCTGAATTAAGAATACGACATGCCAACTTTTTACTTACAGACCAAGAGCAAGGAATTGACCAAGAGCAACATAGTACGTGCTAATGCCAGAATTAAGGAATCTCTACACAGATAAAAGAAAAAGGTAACAGAAAAAAGCAATCACTTCCCAAATATTCTGACAAAAAATATTTAACTTAAGTGTACCTAAAGGTCCACTCTCCAGTTTAAATACTAGGCACTAAAAGCAAACAATATCATGAGGCAAGAGTAAGATACAATCAGAAAATATTTTATAAATGTCCTGTTTGTCTAAGCAAGTTGGAACCATGACCCAGAAGAAACAAAGCAAAAAAAAAAAAAAAAAAAAAACACCTAAAACAGGAAGAGGGTTATTATTAAATTAGTTCACAACTATAAAATCCACCATAATTTAATGTATGGTCGCAACTAGATACTAGTCAGAACAAATCATAAAAGATACTTTAGGCACAGATAATGTAATATGAATACAGACTACAAAGAGTTAACAGTTATGAAAATCATACACTGTGTGAAGAGATGTATACTGAAATATTCAGCACACAGTAATGATTTTTAAAATGTAAATGTCCTTCTAAAATGTTGGTCACTTAGTCCTCTTCTACAAAAATAAAGAAAATGATTTTTTAGAATGAAGTAAATATTTAAACTTTTTTCCAACACAAAAGAAAAAATGACTTGCCAGGCACTATAAGTTTGATCATTTTTACAATTACCCCACTTTTGCTAAAAGAAAAAAAAAAGAAAAAGAAAGAAAACCCACAAAATGTATTTTAACCCCACATAGTGTTAGCTTTATTTGGACTCCACAATAAAAAGAAAAAAGAGTAAGATGATAAAAAGTAAATAAAAACAGCAAGTAGAGCAAAGCATACCTTTTTTGATATGACCCCAGCACCTGCACTGCGTTTGAGATCTCGAACTACACTGCATTCCATCACGATAAACTCTTCTAGCTGTTTGGGATGGCATAAACTATTGAAAGGATGACTCCAGAATGTGCTCCCATCAACATCAGCAACTAGGATAAACAAAGAGCACTAAGGAACAAAAATCTGATGTCTTTCAAGAAGTCGCCAAATATGTTATCTAGGAAGGACACGAGATACACCAACTGGAAAATACCAGATCATCTGGAACTACAATTGACAACTCACTCTTGAGGGACCATCTTTATTCAAATGAATTAGCCCCAAACTTCACCCAGCACAAGAGAAATAGCAGGTATCAAACATACCTTAAGTATCAACTATAATTAGAAAGCCAGGAAGCTAAGTGCATTTTCAATAAGATCAGGTTCAATCAGTCATATAGTTTCATATACTGTTATTTTACAGTTTACTGGTAGTTTCATGTACTGATATGTTACTTTAGGAACATATCAACATCTTAGCAGTTTAATTTCTTGCTAACAGATAAAGAATATCTGTCCTAATATTATACATACACATCTGGCTGATGACTATAATTGGTAAGGATAATAAATTGCTTCTGGCAAAATATCAAAATAAACTCAATTCGTTGTAACAGAAGACTTTTATTTCATGAAACATAAAAAAAGATCAAGCGGAGATCCAGTGAAATTCACTAACAGTCACCAACAGGCAATCTTTTCTTAAAAATATTTTTTGGGGTTTTTTTGTTTGTTTTTTTGTCTTTTGAGACAGTATCTCACTATACAGGTCAGGGTGGCCTTGAGTTCACTTTGTAGCCCAGGCTGGTCTCAAACTCACAGTGAGACCCTCTCAAAACAGTAATAGTAATAGTAATAATAATACACAGGCAATAAATTAAATGATTTATAATTCCACCAGTGTTTTATTAAACAATAGTATAAATCTTAACTGGTCTTTTAAAATACTACTATTATGAATAACAAGACAACATAATTATTGCTTGTTATGTATGTAACTAACTGTCAAGGGAAATTTAGTTCCCAAAACTTACCTTGCAAAACATGACAATGTTAAGCCATGCAGTCATATGTAAAAGATGAGCAAGGCAATGATC